ATTGCTCAAACTTGATATGAACATCTAATATACTAATTAATGAAAATTAGAGCAATACAATTATCATTATCAACTACTCTTATATGGACGACAGTTTACAAGCTATCTTATTTTCTATGAAGAAATTAATGGCATACAATGAATATTGATTGAATTTGTCAAAATGCTTAGATTTTATTAAAAAAAAGTCATTATCATCAATGTTAAAATTTTAGAGTATTTTAGGAGTGACATAATTCGTTGTTTTTTTTTGTTGTTTATGTATTTTTATGACAAGGCTAGTTTTTTGTATATGTTTTAAAACATGTTGCCCATCAAAAGGAATAGAGAGCAACAAGATAAAAGACAACGTAAATAAATCTTCTTTTTGTTCTTTAAGAAATCTTTATGATGATTAACTTATGTTTATTAAGAAATTTCAGATTTCATGGCCTCAAAAAACACCTCTTTACGAAAGCGAGCATTAGTTATTGGAATCAATACTTATACCAGAAATCCATTAGACTTTTGCATCAACGACGTGGGAGATCTCAACGTAACTCTAAAAAGTATTGGATTTGCTGTAACGTCAGAAATCAACCTTAAATTGGAAGAATTCACGAAATTATTTAAAGCATTTTTTTATCAAACTCAACCTGAAGATTTAATACTATTTTATTTTGCTGGTCATGCCATTTCATGTAAGAATGAGAATTATTTGTGTCTGTTAGATAAACGTATTTCCATAGCAAATTTAATGCAATATGCTAACAAAAATTGCTATGCCAAAATACTCATACTTGATTGCTGNTTTTTATGACAAGGCTAGTTTTTTGTATATGTTTTAAAACATGTTGCCCATCAAAAGGAATAGAGAGCAACAAGATAAAAGACAACGTAAATAAGTTTTCTTTTTGTTCTTTAAGAAGTCTTTATGATGACTAACTTTTTTTTATTAAGAAATTTCAGATTTCATGGCCTCAAAAAATACCTCTTTACGAAAACGAGCATTAGTTATTGGAATCAATAATTATGGTAGAAATCCATTAGACTTTTGCATCAACGACGTGGAAGATCTCAACGTAATTCTAAAACGTATTGGATTTGCTGTAACGTCAGAAACCAACCTTAAATTGGAAGAATTCACGAAATTATTTAAAGCATTTTTTTATCAAACTCAACCTGAAGATTTAATAATATTTTATTTTGCTGGTCATGCCATTTCATGTAAGAATGAGAATTATTTGTGTATGTTAGATAAACGTATTTCCATAGCAAATTTAATGCAATATGCTAACAAAAATTGCTATGCCAAAATACTCATACTTGATTGCTGTAGAAAGCCGATGGAAAACATAGATATTAGCCAACAAAAATTGTTCAGCATGGACGCCCCATCGCGAATATTGATAGCATATTCATATTGTCCGAACACACTGATAAAGAGTGAATCAGGAAATAATCGCAATGGTTATTTGATGGAGAATTTGCTAAAGTACATTAAATCATACAATACTGATATTGTGCTTGTGTTTCAAAATGTGGCTACTGATATGCGTCATCAGACCAATAACGTGAAGGCACTGTTTCTCAGCAAAGGCTTTGATGTAAACGTCATCTTGGTGATGCCCGACTCACAAAGTGAGAATCTTTTTTGTTTACTGTTTTTGAAAGTAAATTGATTATTATTGTGTTCATTTATTAGAGTCTATAATCATGCGAACCAATTCTATTTTTCATTGAAATACTAAAATGCGATCAAAAAAGAAGAAAATTCTCTTTATAGAATTATAAATCCTGCATTGCCAAACGTTAGCAACTAAATACGCGAGATTTTCATAGATTTAATTCCAACAGGAATCTTTTGTCTTCATTCCTCCTATTTTATTTTTACATCACACAATGACTGAGTTCTTGAATGTGAAGTATCTTTAGTAAATCTATGTAAACAAATCAATTGTCTAATTTCTTCAGGTGAAACCAATGATTCAATCGCAAGACATGGGCCGAGACCTACGACACGAGATCCTACAGAATCAGATTTCATTTTCCCGAGAGAACAACTTGAGAATCAACAAAGAGATCCTAAGTCATCGATCAATGTGGACGATGTCAGGAATCGTTCCCGAAATCCACGTGTCGTACATCATAAACCAAATTCAGTTTCTACTCCAGTTAGAGATAATCCGGTCAATCAACCACGAGATAACGCACAGGATTTTAAACAAAAAAACAAACTTGCAGATTCTGTTAGTTCACCTCGTAAACTGGGTGGTCAGATACCAAAATCGCCAGAAGCACATTTTGAGCGTTCAGAAGTCTTGAAGAATGCTTTTCACGCAGACGAAGAATTATCTCCAAGAAGAACACCCAGAGCAGCCTATCCAAGCCAGATATTTGGAATTGATAAGCACACAAGGAAAGATGTTCGAGATCTTTTGGAATATCTTGGACACAATCTCCCAATTATGAACAAACATGGACCAATGAGTGGTCAATGTATTCCTGAAACTGACCAGATGGAGAATTTTCTTCGGCAAAACTTTGGTTTTCGTAATATTGAGGGAAAATACATAGTTTCTGGTGTACGAGCATTTGAAATTCGTACACCTGTTCAGAAAATGAATCTGACTACAAAAATTTATTTTCCTGATAAGCAATCCAATGCATTTGTTATGATCGTAGATGAGATTTTGAAGTGGCAAAGTTCCTTTGCCGTCTATGCTGATCGAACTATCCAAGGAATGGACAAAGGGTTTCTTTACCAAGCTCTTCAGGGAAAAAGTAAGAATGGCAACGAAGCTTTTCGCATGAAATTTGTCGTTCGTATTTCTGATTGTCCTATCTTGATGAAATTCGATGCAGAGATATTATCCCGTTCGCTAGCAGACAATTGGCCAAATCTAATCAAACTTGTTTCTGTAACAGGTATTGACTTCGCTGGACGAAAACATGATGTCGATGATATCACAACATACATCACCAATTGGAGGGAAGTGCTTGAGGTTGATAGAAGTACAGGCATGCCAGCAGTATTTCATGGAAGAGATTTTTATCCATTGAGATCTCATCCCCCCGTTAAACTTGACACTAAGCACGTATTTGATGATCTTATGAAAATGGTAAGAATACGACTAAGAGCATGCGACATGGAAAAAGTACAGATCGTAGTTGAAACAGGTATAGGTCTTGGTGTGTTCGCTGGCAAGCATCTTGGAATCGATGATCAAATACGAAAACTCTCTGCCTATGCCGCTCGATACGTACTTCAAAAAGAAGGATCTACGTTTACAAATATTCGTGCTATTGTCTTCGCATTGCCTATCTTCTCCAAAGACAGTAGTGGTCACCGACTTCCAGATACTTACGATGATTTTGTTAACGAATTTAGTACGAACAATTATTCTGGACCTATTCCCGTTCTTATTGTTGATCAAGATATGCATGAATTAACTGTCATTATTGCCGGTCAAGGCTTTCGTGTTTCTCAACTTAATCCAGCAGATTCTCATGGCGTGTTCGGTGAATATTGGCAAAATCATGGGCCAGCAGTCGAAGAGAAACTCGCTCTAACCACACTTGGACTACTTGTTCAACATCATCTCATAAATCCTTGTGTTCTTGATCCAAATAGATATAATCTAATATGAACTAAAATACTTTTAATTTACAAATCTCATTTTATTGAATAATAAGAGTATTGCCTTATAAATAAACAGTTATTATAACTATTCTAATCAATTGAGTATCATCTTACCATCTAAGTGAGTTCGAATGTCACAATTTGAAGTAAAGAGTCGCCAGAATACGGAAAAAAATGACTACAGAAAAATTTTTGATTTCAGTTTTGATCATCTGATAAAAAAGGCCTAATTCAGTTAATAGATCTAGATAAGAATGATCATTATTCATAAACTTCATGTGATAGAAAAGCACTAGTCTACTTCCAACATTAGCATAGTCTCTTGTTCTCTCTTATGTACTTGGTCACATTTCTTTATACATTACTGTTCTGCCGTAACACTTCTTCGATTTCAAAATGAGTCTAAGACAGTGGAAATACCGAAAATAAGATAGTTTCAAAAGAAAATTTCTTACATCTTCATCATCACACAACATCAATTTTCAATGAAAAAAATCATTGATTACTTGTCAGTTTTTTGACGACTGTAGAACTATCGCATAGGGAATGTAGGTGTATTTTTTCTCACTGGGTGTTCATATCCACACCCTGTCTTAATGTTTAGAATGTTTTTTTTTTCAATCCAATAATCATTCGTTAAATTTTAGCATTAGTAATATTTACTGCTAATCATTTTAGTTTGATGTTATTTTAGTGATGTACATATAAAGATAATGTACGCATATCAATGCATCGGTTAATACGTTAATTGTTATTGCGTTCATCGGTTATGAGTATCAATCAAATTTCTATCTTTTAGTTATTTTTCTGCACATCATGTCATTCATGTAGGTTAAAATAAATATTGAATATAAGCTCTTTGTAGTATTCGGGTCTGTTCTTTTTTGAACTCATGAATATTTTCGAACGAAATAGTAACAGTGCAGTGTGTATATGAGATATATGAAGGTTTACACCCACCTTCTTACTCTATATAAAATTACATGTTGATTATGATTTAAATTCCAAAATAACGCTAAGAATTCAGCTATTCATAAGAAAAGAATTGTATATCATTTTTTAATTGATGAATTGATACTTGCTGAAATGGCTATGACTTTGGAAACATTCTGTAGTTTCAGAAAAAATAACAAGCTGATATATCCCTAAATTATTTTAGATATAATTAATTCTTAACCCCTATGTAGTTATTTTTTTCTTTGAAAATTTTCCAAGAATCTCAGATAAACTCCAACATCTACAAGATTTATTCATCAGAAGTATTAGGCTACCATAAAAAGCTTCTCGAAAGAAAACCTTGTATAGTGAACCATACATGATTCAGTCAAATTATTTTTGCAATGATCTTTGAAAACATCTGTGTTCCTGTTTGACGGGCTCATGTATTAGTAAGTAAATGATTTTGTATTTCTAAATAGTTTTGTTTCATTTGTTCGTATGGTTGATCGTAAATTGATTTGGCTTCACATATTTTTATCATAGCATCATGTGCTGATAGATTTTCCATTGAATACATGTTGTCTTCATTACAAATATGTGTTATTAAATTTGTAGCGTATAAGAGATATCTAGCTGATTCATCTGAACAAGATTGTAAATAATTACGTTTAATACAATTTTTAACCATTTTCAAAGGAAAATCAATGAATTTGTCTTGCCTAATGCAAGCTAACATTGTTGTTGCACAACACCATATTATACATGAATTATCGTCTAAGTTTTCGTTCTGTGTTAGAACTTCAATAATAGGATTGAAACGTAGAAATTGATTTGTATTCCAATAGTGTTCTTCACATATTTTAATCATATTCAGTGAATCATTTTTAATTAAAATACATTTATCAATAATCTTTTTCAAATTTTCATCATTTAGATGGCCAATAAGATTCATTTCAACTATAAAATAATGGCTTAAATATTTATTTTCGAAGCATTTGATTGCATAATCAATGAAATCAATAAAACGATCATACAATGTTTCATATGTCCATTTCTTTTTCTCTATTGATTCACATAACCAATATAACATTGTTTTTAAAAAATAGCTACAGATGATCTTCGATAATTCGAGATCCTGTTTAATGTGTATATCGAATAAAGATTTGACAATTAAATAACATTTTCTTTGATAATAATTTAGTGTTTTTGCTAGCATAAGTTCGCAAATGGAAAATGATAACCTCCATTCTGTTTTTTTTTCTTCACTACTTGTGAATATATGTGATATTGGTACTATGTGACATCCAAATTTAACTAATGAATTTATCAGACTTTGATCTGGCCAATTACCTAAACGTTTACGATTGATCCAATTTAATGCTGGTTTAGGCCAATGTAGACATTTCAATGATGCAACATGATCCATTGGTAGTGGTAACTGAGGATCCTTCGTTGTAGTACATATTGATGGGCCATGAATTTCTAAGCCTTCATCATATCCTTTGTCTAAAGGCCATTTTTTGGCAAACCAATTCACAAAACCTGATGATGGCCAATATTTTCTCTTTTTTTCAGTCAAATTACGAAGAGTTACATTTGTATTTGTATCTGGAATAAAAATTGTTGAATCTGTCTTTTCACTTGTTTCAATCAATTCTTGTGTTGAATCAAAGTAGAGTCTTATATAACATGGATATTTTGTGTTACTGTAGTCAATGTATAGAAATCGAATCTGATTATTGATTTGATATTTTTCTCTATCCGTCGAAGTAAATTGTTCGGGATCAACAGCATATATATACGGAAATTCAAACATCAAGTCAATATCTGATTTTGTATGATTTGGAAATGGTATATAAAGTTTTTCGGCAGCACTACCTGTTTGTTTATATTCGAACAAATTAAATTTGGTATATTCATTCAGTTTTTCGTCTGTTAAACTTTCTTCTTCTATCTCATCTTCATTAACATTCGATGGCATCATAAATTGTTCAAGAATGAATGACAATAGACGATTTCGATGATTAACAGCTTCATCTAAATTATTATATATTCGAGTCTTTGACTAAAAAAAGTAATCATTAATGAGATATAGCAGTATAAAATTAGTCAGAAAAAGTGTTCGAACAGCTGTATAGCTTTCTACACGTTCCAATTTAAGCACGGGAAAACAGTATATATATATTTTTCTTTTGTGATGAATATATAGTCTTAACTCTCTCTGACATTGCTACCGCTTCAAGAAAAACGTACACATTTATTTGAAGTTTCTCTTTTTCTTGAACATACCTTGAGATAAAGGGAAATAAACTCTATTTGTCAGTTTTACATTTTTTTCAAAGATAAAATCAATTTTTCATGAGCAATAAATTTTCCTTACAATATATACAAAAATATTGCACTTAATAGAACCTTTTAATGTATTTTGGAGCATCCACCGCAGTCAAAGACTCTATTGAATAGCTCATGAAAAAGTAAATAAAATCTATCGTTAAAATCATGTGTGACTATATTAATAGTTATTATTATTGGAGTACTGTGATATTCTGAAGAATCAGAACAGTTCTACAATTTACCATGTGTTTGACTTATCTATCCTTTTTGCAGTACTTTATACTTTGTATCTCTTTTTGAACATTTAATTTCTGTAGACAAGAGCAAGATCCACCCTGTTTTAGTTGCAACCGAGCTAGTAGACACTATTCTATGTATTGGACACGAATCCAATTAGTAGAATGATACCACACAGAGACCATGATCAAAATAGTATTGATTAAACTTTTACTATAATACCTCCAAAAACCTACAAGATTGCTTGTTGAATAGTTCTGACAAATCTATACAGGGTGATTCACGTGCAACGCATGTGCTTCTTCGATAAACAGAATAATTCTTCTTCACTGAATCTAAAGAGTTCTTCCTTTGGTATTAATTCCAATATTTACTTGACGATGTCAATTCTGTTGCTGCAGTTGATTTATCTTCACATGAAAGAGGAATTGAATTTATTTTTTGAGATGTTCTATATAGTGCTGTTGTTTGAATCTTTGTTTTGTAAGCCAATCGATTTTTTAATTTGTGACGAAACTTATCACTGTAGCTGCCAAATTGATACAAATATAGCACATTTTTCTTTTCGCTCATTTCAATCAATCAATGACTTTGTAATAAATGAGAAACGAATATTTGAAGATTGATTTCATGGAAGTACGCAGGATACTACTGCTCATTTAAAAAGAAGGCGGGTGGGGATTCTCTGAATAACTTTTGATAGGAACAAGATAGAAAGCTGCGATTTTCACCGTTAGAAAGAGGCAATGAAACTACATCGATTTATGTATTTCAGATTTTTCTGACAAGTATTTTAAAGGTTTTCCCACGAATTTTTTTAAAAAATCAACGATTTTAGACGTGGAAAAAAATTAATTTTCTATTAAAGACCAAGAAAAAAAGCGTTTTTTTCGCTAAAAATCGACCGAAAACACAGAGTAACATATTCAAAAGTCATGATTACCTAAAGATAATTTTGTCCGGTTTATAGAGCTGATACAACTTTCGTTAGTGATTCTAGTGCCCTCCTGAAAATTAAAAGTCCATAATATTCACCTGATGTAACGTTTTGTCTCTTGGAAACTTGTCGAGGAACCCTTAAAATACTTGTCAGAAAAAAATCTGAAATATTTAAATCGATGCGATTTCATCGCCTCTTTCCAACGGTGAAAACCGTAGCTCTCTATCTTGTTTCTATAAAAAGTTATTCAAAGAATACCTACCCGCCTTTTTTTTTTAAATGGGCAGTAGTCAAGTTTAATTCTTAACCGAGCGTAGATTGTTGCTATGTATTTCTTACATTCGTTTGCTTTTTCTTTATTCAACAAAAAAGACGTACATGTGCTTTTATTTTTTTTATGTTTATGTAAATTTGGTTATAGAAACGAGCTTTATAATAATATTACTTTATTGAAAGTACAAAGAAGAAAAAAACTGTCGTTCTTCAATGTATACTCCTAAAATATTTTTTTAAACTTTCTTCTCATGTACAAATGTTGAAAACAAGTATGTCAGATGGAAATGAATAGACAAGATTGAATATGAAACTGAGAGAAAGTTGTATTTAAGAAATACTCTCGTTTTTGATACCTTTCCTGCTCACTCTTTTACATCATATCATATGATGATTAATTCAATAATTGCCAATATATTGTAATCTTCTTCCTATTACGCAATATATATGAATCAGATTGGAAAAAATAGGGCTATCATACTCATTTTTCGTTACACTCGATTGACATAGAAGTAGTATATCTATGATTAAAAGATTTCACTGTATCGAGGTAATCAATCGGTGGTTGAAGTATTGATTTTATCTTTCTTTTCACTGTGTTTTTCATAAATTATCTGTTATTTACAAGTAGTAACTGCTTAAGATTTAATTAGGATTCTGACGAGATAAGTTATTTTTACCCAACTTTATAGTGTAAAATTCAGTTGGCTTTTTCATGAAATAAAGTCCGTTTTACAAAACTTATCCTGCTGTACAATCTGAAGGATATTTTTCAGGTTGGAGACGTGTACATTGGTAAGCGATTTTTGTATTACCTGATAATGGAACTTTAAAACACATGACGTTTGCATATCCTCTAGAATTCTGTTTGACTTAAAAGATCAATTTCATTTTTATTTTCCTACCAGACATTGACTGAAAACTTCTACCACTTGAAACGAATTTTCACTGTTCGACATGCTCTAACTCGAATTGTTGAGGGTGTGGGTGTGGTTCTTCTCTTTAGTAACACCCACATCCACACACCACTCTCATCATTACAAAATTCATTAATAAAGAACAGACAATTGAACATTATTTACGAGTTTATTCTCATTTTTTCAACATAATTTATCTTTGGAAAATATTAAGAAGAAAGAGTTTGACTTACTAACAAAACTATATCAAGAAGATAAAACACATACTTATTTATAATCCACGATCTTATTTATACTATATTTTTTTTGTTTTGATGCACTAAAAAATAAATAACTTCTCAAAGCAAGTAGAAAAAAATATTTAACAGTAGTCTAAATCCTTATGATCTTAGTGGTATACAGAAAAATAGAAGAATCATAAACTTTTTCAATTGGACGAAGAATAATGTACAAGAATTCGATCATAAAATAGTAAAAAAAAAATATTTTTTATATTGTAGAACAAATTATTAAAAAAGCAACTAATAAAGATTTTCGTGGTATTCTTCGAAATAGCAAAGCAGGACGAAAAAATTATATCAACTATAATATCAAATTTGAATGAAATCAATAATTCTGACAAACATAAAGATTTTCAAGATATATCAGATGAAACGGTAAAGGAAATGAAAACTTATAAGACTATAGACAAATTATTTTCTGATCTGAAAAATATTGATGACACTATTCGTCTTCTAATTATGAAAAAGTCAAATTCAATATATCATAAACTGAATGATACACTTTTTAACACTTCTATATATCATCAGTTAATAACATAAACAAATATTTATCTTTGTATGTACTGTAATCTAAAAATTCATTTACAAGAATATTTATCTCTAATGAAAAGATAAATAATTTTCTCAATATAATTATTAATAAATGAAATGGTATTAAAGATTAAAAAACACTATTAGATCTCAAAGAACAAATGTTAATTTATTTCGTATTTGACTTTTAATCATGAACTTGTTTCTGTCAAAAAACTTCCGGAAGAATTTTTTTAATTTACCAATCGAAAGAAATTGAATTAAAAATTTTAATTAATCTCATGAAACTAACTACTATAGCTCATCGAGATTGTATAGATATAGACGAAATAAATCTTGATAGTGCAAATTTTCAGGAATTAGATAATTTATGCAAAAATACATCAATTTTGAGTGTTTATCAACAATTAAAAATTAGCTATTTATAGAAGTATATTAGAATTTTATTAGAAATATATCGAAATGTTCAATGGTTTAATTCGATTCAGAACAGAGAAAAATACGACAAATGTTTTGAAAGAATTCAATAAATATTTGAATAATATAAACGGTTATTCTTGTATCGAGAAAAAGATACATGGAAATATTTTCATAAAAGTAGAATAATGTTTATTATATTTTAAAGATATTCGTTTAACAATCAAGAAGTTATTATCATCATCTCAATATGAAAGATTAAGAATATTATTGAAAACTATAGTTTAATATTTTCTCTGGATAATCACAAAGAATATCTACATAATATGTCTTATGTTTTTTCCAAAAAGTTTCAGAAAAAATAGATAAAACAAAAATTATATATACTATTAGAAGTTATGTACTATAACAAGATTTCGTTTGACCAAGCAAATGAAATTGTTCGAAACCTTAAGTACCAAGATTAGCTTGAAGAGTTAGAAAAAAAAACAGGCTTATCTAAGTGTGTCTCTGACGAGAAATCTGATTATTCAGCAAAGAGACTTTGAAAAAATTACAAAAGATACAAAAATATTTAAAGACAAAGCTTTTAAAAAAATCATCTTTTAGAAAGAAATGAAAGATCAGAAATTACTCAAGAAATTCAAAAAATCTTCAATCTTATCAAGATGATCTAGAAGAATATGTTCGTTCTCATTTAGATCAAATTATTCCATTATATATTTATGCTTGGTCAGTTGGTAATAAACTACAATGTCTAAAAACTACTCAAACAGTTGCTTTATTACATTTTATTCATAGTCAAGGAAAAAAAACTTCTTCAACAAACTGGATCAGATGAAGGAAAACCTCTTATTTTAAGATTAACTGCTGCATTTCTACCATTATATAGATATGCTGTTGATATTGTTTCTAGGAAACGAGATTGAGTTATGGAGAACAAACATCTCGTTCATTTTTCCAATTATTAAAACTAGAGAATGGTGATGATTATGTTAATTATCAATTGTACAGACAAGAATTGAATGCATCTCAAGATGATCTCATTTAT